ATATATATATATATATGTCCAATAACAGATATATTAGATACCGGCTATTGAATATATAATATAAGAAAAAGAACCAGCTACGAGGATGGATTGACAAGTATTTATGTGTTAGGCCGCGAATATTTCGATCTACCCTCGTATAAATATAGATGTTCGACTGGTATGGGCGATTCCGTAATGGGAGGTCATCAATGTTCAGAATAACTCAATATATAGTTATTGGATATTACCAATTTATAATAAGGACATTCTAGCGTGTAATGACTGGAAAATTTAGGTGATGAAGTTTTTTTTTTATTGTAGATAATCGGTTTACCCGATGGAAAGCGACTACCATCGCCCATGAATACTTGCAACACGAGAAGCAAAGAGCTTTTTCTATCCATTAAAAAATAAAATGTAGAAATGTGTTTATTTTGTAATCAACCGAATAAACTTATAATCAAGCCATAAACGTTGACCATGATATAAACGTTGTTATCAAAATCTTTGGTAATTCCTAACTGAAATTTTTTAAGCTTATTAATAATATAGATCAATAATTGAGTCTTCACTAACTGTATAATTGTTACTTTAGTATACATTAACACGTATCTGTAAGAGCTATATATGCCTCTAATTGATGTGTTCGCCCAGCCCTCAATGGATTGTGCTTAGTGGAATTGTTCAATATGATGCCCACGGCCACTTTCTATCATCGTACAGCTCGTCATCGACATGGAGTTCACTTTCATACCTAGATGATTGCGTACAATGCGGTTTTAGAGATGTTTTCTCTCACGAACACTCAGGTTATGGAATGAGCTCCCTGCCGAGGTTTTCCCAAGAGACTACAGTATGGGTTTCTTCAAAAGGGAGTAAAGAGGTTTCTTCAGGGTTGGCAACGAGCGCGTAATACATCTGGTATTGCAGGCGTCCATAGGCTACAGTAACCGCTTACCATCAGGTGGACCGTATGCATGTTTGCCACCTCAGTGGTATAAAAAAAGCCTTAAGCTTATTTATAACATTGTATCTAGTCTGTTTAATTATTGTGAAGAAATTGTTGGTTTATCTTTTATAAATAAATTACGCGACACCACGATTTGACAGCAGGGTTTCCAGATGCTTTTTTACATTTTTACCAAAATGTGAATAATTTTTTCTCCAAATTGTATACGATTTCATTGATTTAAACCCAATCACAAAGTTGTTTTTTTTACAACGTTGTACCATGTAACTACAAAGTGAACGACTTTTTTTGTTATATTTCTGGGAAATTGGGTTATGGATGCATAAAATTTAAGAGCAAAACGGTTGTAACGCGAGCGCGAGCATCACTGAATATTTTATTATTATATATATATATATATTTTTTTTTTTTTTTACAACACAGGGGGCAAACGAGCATGCGGCTCACCTGATGGTAAGTGACTACCGCCGCCCATGATCACCCACAACACCAGCGGCATTGCAGGTGTGCTGCCGGCCTTTTAAAAAGGAATATACTCTTTTCTTGAAGGTTATGTTGTCGTATCGGTTCGGAAATACTGCTGCTGGAAGTTGATTCCAAAGAATGGTTGTGCGTGGAAGAAAGTGCCTTGAAAAACGCACGGTGGAAGACCGCCACTCGTCCAGATGATTGGGATGAAACTTTAGTTTGTGGCGGGTTGTACAGTGGTGAAAATCAGCAGCAGGTATCAATCCGAACAATTCCTCAGAACACTCCCCATGATAAATTCGGTAGAAGATGCACAGAGACGCAACATCTCTGCGCAGTTTCAATGGGTCAAGTCGGACAGTAAGGCGTTGACTATCGATAATTCGAGCCGCCCGACTTTGAATGCGGTCTAACGGAAGGAGTTGGTACTGTGGCGCTCCTGCCCACAGGTGAGAACAGTATTCCATATGCGGCCTGACTTGGGCTTTATATAATTTCAGGCGGTGTTCTGGCATGAAATATCGTCTCACCCTATTGAGCACTCCTAACTTTTTGGAAGCTATCTTAGCCTTCTCCTCCAGATGACCGCAAAACTGGACGTCGCAAGATATATCAACGCCCAGAATTCCTAGACTTGACTTTTTATCAAGGGAAGTGCCCTGAAAGTGAGGAGATACGACAAACGGCGTCTTTTTTGCGCCAAACGCGCAGACTTGTGTCTTTTTGGGGTTAAATTGGACAAGATTTTGTTCACCCCAGATCGAAACTTGATGGAGTGAAGTTTCGATTTCAGACACAAGTCTATTCCGGCACTCATCGGTATGTGCCCGCGAGATCTTTGCATGACCGGTATATAATGTATCTCCTGTACTGTCGTCCGCATAGCAATGAATATTACTTATCTGTAACATATCATTGATATGCAGAAGAAACAGAGTCGGAGATAGTACACAGCCTTGCGGGACACCAGCATTCAAAGGCTTTAAATCAGAGCATGCACCGTCGACTACGACCTTAATGCTACGTTCCTTGAGAAAACTGGCGACCCAAATGCACAGTCTCGCAGGCAACCCAAATGAAGGTAGCTTTGAAAGCAGCGCTCTATGCCACACCCGATCAAAGGCCTTCGCAATATCCAGACTAACTGCTAAGGCCTCTCCCTTACTCTCGATTGCCACTGCCCATCGGTGTGTTAAGTAAGCTAAAAGATCACCGGCCGAACGTCCCTGTCGAAAGCCATACTGGCGATCACAGATCAGCCGGTGCTCTTCTAGGTACCGGAGCAGTTGACGGTTAATGATGGATTCCATAACCTTCGAGAATAAGGAAGTGATAGCTATGGGCCTATAGTTAGCTGGATCTGAGCGATCTCCCTTTTTAGGGATCGGATGCACCAGAGCAGTCTTCCAAAACTTTGGGACTATGCCCGATGAGTAGCTAAGCCGAAAAAGACGCGTAAGAACCGGAGCCAACTCTGGTGCGCACGTCCTAAGCACAATTGGAGGAATACCATCAGGCCCACTCGACTTATGGATTTCGAGGGAGAAAAGTGCTCTACGCACTGAGCTATGCGTGAATTTAATGTCAGGCATAGAGCTCCTACAACACGTGATGGTCGGTGGTGGTTTCTCCCCGTCATCCAATGTCGAGTTTGACGCAAAGATGGATCCAAGAAGATCGGCCTTTTCTTTAGCGTTCTGGGCCAACGAGTCATCCTCCCTGCGCAAAGGTGGAAAAGATGACTTACAGAAATTCCCTTGTGCAGCTTTGGCAAGAGACCAGAAAGCTCGAGTCCCAGAGGGCAAACTAGCCAGTCTCTTGCCAATTCTACTAATATGCTCTGACTTCGCTGTGGCTATAACTCTTTTGAAAGACCTAGAGGCAGAGTTATACTTCTTTTTAAGAGCACTGGTGTTAGGATCTCGCGACGCCACACCTTTAGCCCAGGTTAGGAAGCACTCCTGTTTCAGACGAGATGCTGTTCTACAGGAGGCTCCATACCAGGGCTGGGATTTCCCGCCGACGGGCACCACAGAGTTAGGAATAAATAATTCCATTCCCTGAAGCACCACATCAGCAATGGAATCGGCAATGGCGTCGGGATCATCCAGTGTGAAGCAAACCTGCCTCCATGGGTAAGATGCGAAAAAAATCCGCATCTCATCCCAATCTGCCGACCTGTAGTGCCAAATGCGACGTCTACCCGTAGAACGAGGTGGAGTCGGACTCGTAAGAGGCACTTCGCTCCGCACCAAACAGTGATCCGACGATCCAAGCGGGGCTTCGACGGAGATCACATAGTTGTCTGGGTGGGTGGTCAGCAGAAGGTCCAGCAGTGAAGGTGAATGGTCCAACACATCAGGGATTCGCGTAGGCGAGGAAACAAGCTGTGTCAGACCATAAGCCAAAGCAAAGTCATGAACAGATCTTCCCGCATAGTCGGTTGTACGCGAACCAAGCCATTCGGCATGGTGGGCATTAAAGTCGCCAACAATCACGACTTCAGCGGAAGGAATCTGCTCAAGCAGGGAATCTGTAGCCATTTGGACGTGCTCAATTAGTTGGTCGGTTTCAGTGTTACCGCTGTGGGACCTGTATAGGCACGCATAGATGCGGGGATGGTCATTGCAATCTACGCGCAGCCATAGAATGGACAGGTCCGTACCTTCAAGAGTCCCAAGGCGTCGACAGCAGATATCCTCTCTGACATACGCACATACACCGGCACGCGAAACAAAACAATGTTCAAGCTTATACCCCGGGTAGGTCAGGTATGATGTTTCGTTAGGAGGGGATATCTGTGTCTCCGTGAGGAAGAGCAATGCCGGCCGCGCCGTTTCTAGGTGGTGGTGGACAGCGTTCAGGTTTGAATGAATTCCCCTAATATTACAGAGGCTCACATTGAGCAAAGGGGATGCCGCAGAAGTCTTGCTCTGTTTGCCCTTGGTCCCATAGAGCGGAATTTTGCCCCCCCAGAATACGCAGGGCAGCCCGAGCGTGGTTGCTCGAGGGAGGATTCTCCAGCAACATGGCTGCTGGTACCTCCCTGGGGTACGTTATTTTTTTTAAATTCCACTGCCATGGCATTGAAAGATGGGGGGACGGAGTTGGGGGAGGATTTTAGGATAAGGAAGGGGATGGGTATAGGATGGGCCTCCGGACTCCCTCACTCACCATACGGAATGTGGTCGCACTAAAAGTGCGGCCACTTAGCGTCGGTATTCTGTGAGGGTGTGGTACTTCCCCGGTCGAGCCGGCCCATTCATGCTGCAATACCATATGGTATTACAGCGTGGCTCTACCACCTATATATATATATATATATATAGCTAGCCCATCGTGATAAATACACCTGGAATTCAGCAGGATAGTTTCCAGGGGGGACCACGTGGAGACCGATTAACAGGGTATATTGCTAGCAATGGGACTGGTAGTTCGCATTACTAACAATCCCCTTCCCTGCAGATAATAATTTAACAAAACCAGTAGTATAATTTTAAAAGTGACGATTTAAAAGAGCCTGTAAACGAATCTATTTGAGTAATAAAAACTTTTAGTCAATTAAAATATTTATAATTACCTTTGGTATTGGGGGTGTCAACCCTCTCTGTGGTTGTCAGCTATCCTTCAGGTTACATACGAGACCTGAAACAAAAGAAGATCGCATATTAAAATATGCATTTCTTATGCAACTTGGAATAGAAAACAACCTGATGACCTTTATGGAAACCATCCTTTATAGACACGAATAGGGCCATAGTTGTCACAGGGTACAGTGATAACAACGCCACCCCGCGGTTCCCCCTGGAAACCATCGTGATTAATTCTTGTTGAATTTTTCACGATGGGTCAAACTAACTTGCTTTGATTCTCACCTAACATCTATCACTGGTGTCTCGTCAGCGTATACCGATAGTGTAGGCGGGGTTAACATTCCATTTTCATCCATTAAAAAAAAATGTCACTGGAAGAGGAGCTCGATTTGCTAGCTTTATAATAGGCGTTGATATTAAATTTTGATCCGTAATAAAACAAAATTTGGACACAAACTTTTTTGATCCCTGTAAACTTTTAAGGGCAATATTAACCGAGCGAAAGTAAATGATAAAATATTAAATTTCAATCATATCACATTATCGAAAGTCATTAAAGTCCAACTGAAAAGTTGCCGAGGATTTGGCGTTAAAAAGGTTTTCCGGTGCTAGGTAATTCAACCCTTTCAACATTCAATTCTGTGCACGCAAATGTGTAACAATTTCGGTGCGCGAGGTCCCCGGGGTGAAGTGACCGCGGTAAGGTCGGAAGGGTTAGATACGGTGCCGATTTATTTCTATTACCGACTGGCCGGCGAGCAGGCTCGTGGCACACCGAGCGGGGGCAAAATGGATTCACATTAAAATTTAACTCGCATTTATTGTTTATATATCTAATACTATAAACTGGGGGAAAGGGATTGTTAGCATGCAGACTACCAGTCTCATTTTTTTTTAATGGGTGATAATGAAATTGTAACACCACCCGTGCTATTGGTATACACTGGCGGGGCACCAGTGTGAGGATGAAGCAGGTCAGTCAGCCTGTCGTGACGAATTCAGCAATAATTGTTCACGATAGTTTCCAGGGGGAACCACGTGGAAGTCGACCTAATAGGGCATATTGCTAGCAACGGGGCTGTCAAACACTATTGCTAACAATCCCTTTCCCCCTAGTCTCATTATCAGCAGTTTATAAAACAAAATCATTTCAGAACGGTTGCACCTATTTGGCTAATTCTTTGTTGTTGTGTTTGTAATTGTTAGAACAAGGTTTGTATGAAAGAAAATATTTGAAAAAATGGTACGAATAAATAAAAATATTGGGTTAATTTATAAAAGAAAAGTAAATGAGATAGATGGCAGTAGGGAGAACTTACAATAAAATTTTTGGTCTTATTTCTTTCATTAGTACACCCGGACAAATCCGGGGCGGGCAGATAGTATAAAGAAGTATATTTAGTAGAAATACGTCACACACTTTAAGGATTAGTATTGCCCTTTTCTTCTTTAATTTACTTGGATAGACAAACGAAATTTAGTCCATAAAAACTTGGGAATAATTGCTCTTCACTGGTGGTTGATTTACACGTATCTTTAATTTACTTGGATAGACAAACGAAATTTAGTCCATAAAAACTTGGGGATCATTGCTCTTCGCTGGTGGTTGATTTACACGTATAAATTTACATTGTATAAAATTTAGTTAATCACTAATTTTATGTAAATCGACCGATAATTACTATTAAACGACTAAAGAAATAATCCAATTCATGTGTTATGTTTAATTTTCCCCAGGTATCCTAAAACCGAATAATCACAATAGGAAATTACACAATGAACGCTTTAGCTGTAAGGAAAAATGCCCTAATGTAATCCAATCCGGTGGAATAAATAAATTATGCTTATCACCTTCATTAACCGTTACATAATAACGCTTCTTATTCCTTATTCAAAATAAGATTTTTTTAGTGCTCCAACCGTTTTTCTGCTTCATAATTAACGTTCCATTGTATTTTTATTCACGTAATACGTTAAAATCTTTATAATAAATTATAAATACAACTACACTGAAAGAATCTTAAAAGTAATTTACATACGCAAGAAGGAAAATAGGGGCTTAACTTTTTTTGGAGGTTATAAAAAAGAGAAAAAGCATTTGAAACGAACTTCAGTCACATGTAATTTAATAATAAAAGAATTGCCTGTACACTTTCACTCACCCGTGTGAAATATTTGATGAGGTAACTTATGAAAAAGTAATCCGTCTTATTCGGGCTTATGCTAAGCTTCAAATAGATTAAAATGCCGAGGATTTACTGTATAGCTTTAGAAAATTCTATTTAATCAACCAACTTCAAAAAGGGAGCGAGGTTTTTAATTCCATTATATTTTTATATGCGTAAGTTAAACGACAGTTATACTTTTTTAATAGAAGCCTTATTTTGTCTGTAAAATTGTTTTCAATTTTGTACTAAATATTATGAAATATGTTTTAAAAAAAATGTACTTTTATTTATTCCGCGATATACTAAAATAATATAGTGCTAAAATGTAACGACAAATGTTATCTACATTGATTATAATAAATAATAACTATTGTATGCTTTTATTGTGTTTTATTTACCGTGTCGTCTCGATAGACAATAGGCCACCTCTTTCTTTCCTATGGGTGTCGTAAGAGGCGACTAAGGGAGGCGAGGGATGGGCAGCAGCGTCTCTTTTAAAACATCTTCAAAAGCTAACTGCGGTTGCTAATCACAGAAATCACTATAGCAAATCTCCCCATGGGGGAGGACAGTTATGTTCAGCAATATACAATTAAAGGCTGATATGACCGTATTCTTACATATTTTCTATAAGTATTTGAGAAATTTCCAATTAACTGTCAGTTTATTTTTTTCTAAATATTTAATTCAAAAATTTTTCGCCAAAAAAATGTTTACGTCAACAGTCCGTTAACGGATCCTTGCGCTCGTTGTGTCCTTGCCCTAAACCAGTACATGTACCTACGAGTACGTATGGAATTGGTTTCGGGGTCAAGACGCACCGATTGGATTTTTCCCGGATTAAATTTCAGACACTCGCCCGGAGGGGAGAACACTGCCTATAATTGTATGGGGCGGGATGTTTCTTCATTGCATGCGTGGGATTTAATTAAATCCACGCTTATTAGGCTCTATGTAACTGTCGGATCAGGACTTGGCCATTACGTTAAGCAATTCGATACTAATACAAATATATTGGCGATTTCCGTTATTCTTGGAAGATATTTCTGTTTATTTTTTTTTTTTTCTCGGTGTACGAAGAACGGTGTATACGTGTTGTGGATATTCCAGATGGCGTCTATTATAATATTTCTTTTTATACAACTTAGAATGGCGAACAAACTGACGGTCCACCTGATGGAAAGTGGTAACCGTCGTCTATAGACATGAGCAGTACCATGGACATAACAGAGTATACTGTTTCGCCCATGATACCCCCATGCGTTGTCATTCCTGAGGACTCAGGTGTTATTCCTTACATAGGAATTCCCTGTAAATTCACTGACATATCCCACCCTTCAAACCGAAACACAGCCATGCGGGGAGAAAGGGATTGATGGCAATGGAGTTTTACAGCCCCATTGCCAGCAAAATGCCTTAGTAGGTCGATCTCCACGTGGTTCCTCTGGAAATCATCGTGAACAATTCTTGTTGAATTCGTCACGATGGGCTAACTGACCTGCTTCATCCTCACCTATCGTCCTTTACTGGTTAACATTCCATTATCACCCATTAAAAAAAAAACACAGCCATGCAAACACAACTGCTTCACGGTTGAAACACGAATGGGGGTAATAATTATAAATTATTATTATTAATAATAATTAGAGTAACTTTAACACGGTACGGCTTATGTTCAGCAGTGGACAGTAAATGACTGATACGATGATGATGATGATACTGTGATAAGACAGATGAGTGATTTTATTTCTTCAGATATAAGCGGAGTTTTTTTTTCTAATGGATGAAGATGGAATGGTTCACCATCTTATGCTAACGGTGTACAAAGGCGGGGCACCAGTGGAGGATCAAGCTATGAGAATAATGTCAGGTCAACTGGCTCATCGTGGCGAATTAACTGGGAATTGATTAATAATCATGATTTCCAGGAGGGACTATGTGGAGGTCGATCTGATAGGGTATATTGTTAGAAATAGAGACTAACTAACCTTTTTATTACTAATAAACTATTCCCTCCACCATTATAAGTCATACAAATTAAGTAGTATAGTAAAAAGTAAATCAATTTTGTTTTAAAGGGTGTATGGTAGAGTAAGTAGAGTAGTAAAATAACAAAAAAAAAAAAAACAGTAAAAATATCATATTTTCATATTGTTGTATTTGCAAGAATGGCATCAATTTTATTATATATATATATATATATTTTTTTTTGTGGAAAAAAATCTTTATCAAAAATTTCCACTTTCAATGTTTTGTTTTTTCAAAATTATTTTACAGATATATAATTAAAACAGATAAATACGTTCTAATTTTTAAAATTGTCATTTTTAATTGTGTTTCAAAGGAGATTTGTTAGCAATCGAGTTACTTAGTCGAGCCGGAGGGGTCCAAGGGTCGTTTCTATTAATCGTTGTAATCCTCGGAAATCTGGCGTATATATTTGAGTAGTTTTTAGCGATATAAATTCTTACAACGACCTCATATGTGGCAAGAAGACCTCTGTCTAGCCTAAATCCGGTCTGTAAATTGCTGGAACAGATTAACTAGCGACCTTCTATGTATAATTGTTTTACAAAATGTCACGTTCGTTGAGGGATTTAATGGCAGAACAAAACGACGAGAAAGGGAGAGAGAAAGATTTAAAAAGATAACTAAAATAATGTTTACATCTCATAATGCTTATCGTTATTTTAATATTTTTGTTGTTTTTTTTTTATACAACTTAGAATGGCAAACAAGCTGACGGCTCACCTGATGGAAAGTGGTAACCGTCGCCTATAGACATGAGCAGTACCATGGACATAACAGAGTATACTGTATCGCCCATGGTACCTCCCATGCGTTGCTTGTTTAGTAGTTGTTTAGTTTTTAAATTAAAGTAACT